TTGTTCTCTCCTAAGGTTGGATGTTGCTGTTGGTATCCGTCCAACGGACATTCGGTATCCTACGTAGACAATTGTTTGTAAACACTTACACATTGTTGATGAAAGTTGTGGTAGTTCTTCAAGTTTCTGCTTCGTACATCAGAACTGCCTTTAAGTTCGTATTGAAGATTCTTTCTTTGATATTGATTGATGGTTATTTTAAGTCCCATATGCTCTTCAATTGTAGGAATGTTACCCTGGCTTTGCCAAACCTCGCCTTTACTTTTGTATCAAATTCTTTACGTTCATCGGTGATGCTACCCAAATACGAGAATGTTTCCACATCTTCCAGAGTTTCTCCATCAAGTGTGACTGGCTTGACATTCGAAGATCTTGCTTTTTTCTTGTGTATGACGAGGCCTACTGATGTAGAAGCTTCTGCTACACTAGTGTATGGGATAGAAGAACTAGGTTAACTGTAAGGTCTGAATCGCCTAGTTGATTCTGAGATGTGCGTCGAGGTCTTTATAAACCAGTCAATCACCAGAAGAAAGAGAATAAGAGATAGTAAGAAACCTTGTTTGTATCCAGCCCTTACTTGGAATGAGTCTTTCACCTGTCTTCCATGCAAACCTTTGCATGAATTTTGTATCATGTAGACGGTCTTCTCAACTTTTTATAAAATTCTTCTATCCACTCTATCAAATGCCTTCTCATAGTCAAGGAAGTTTATGTACAGTGACGAATTTCATTCAATTGATTGTTTAACAATGATCTGTAGTGTCGCGATTCCGATTCTTCAGAATCCAGCTCCTTGATCTCAAAGCTGGTCATCTACTGAATCTTTCGTCCGGTTCAGCAACACCCCTTTGAAAGCTTATCGTGCTACTGACAGTGGTCTGATGCATTTGTAGTTTTCACACTTACTCAGGTATCCTTTCTTTGGTATCTTGATGAGCTGTCTGTTACGGGAGAACTGAAGACATTTGGCTGATTAAAAACTTTATATTAAATATCATTAATTTCACTGGTTTTTGGATGTATTTGTTTTACTTAACTTCTGAACTTGTTTGTTTATGTCATTTTTCGGACATTTTTTGGTTTCTGTTTGTCTTTGGCTTGGTAATTGGAAGTTTTTTGCTCCGGGAACCTATAAAATTGAAGGTTTGTTTTGTAGTTATTATAATTATTGTTGTTGTTAGAATGACATTTGGTCGACTATTTGTGAATTGCGAATAAACTTGGTACCTAATTTGGTTTTTGGTTCTGTTGTTAATTTGGGTTCGTAAATTACAAATAGACCGACATACCGTACTTCAATAACGGGAAGGAGCAAAAACTTGGACGTAACACTGTCCTTCTTTCCAGTCCGTCGGCACTTGTTCTTCCTCCAAAATCTTCCTAAATGGAATGTGGAGCATGTTTTCAGTTACTTCCACGTCTGTTTCTAGAGCTTCAGCTGGTATATTGTCAGGTCCTGCTACTTTCTCACTCTCCATTTGTCTGATAGTCATCCTGACTTCTTCGATCGTTGGTGGGGTAACATCGGTGGGAAGGTCTGTAGGTGCTGCTTCGATATCCGGTAAATTCAAGGGAAATGATCCATTCAAAAGTTCCTCAAAGTGTCCCGCCCATCTGTTCCCTTTAATCTGAGTTTCAGTGATTGGTTTGACTTTTTGGTTTGTGACCGGTCTCTGGTTTACTATATTCTCTGACCAGCTTCTTCGTTGTGCCAAGCAGTTGTTTCATATTCCCTTCTCTTGAAGCTTTTTCCGCTGTCGTTGTTACGTCTTTCACATATTTCTGCTTGTCAGCCCTAATGCTCTTCTTCACTTGCCTGTTTGCTTTTGTGTACTGAGCTTGTGACTAGGGGTTTTTTGTTCTTTTTTTGTTAATTTTTGTTTTGTTCTTCCTTCCTTGAATGTTATTCAGGGTATTAATAGAGATCCATTCCTTATGATGATGCTTTCTGAGGCCGACTGTGGTCACCGCTTCGTGCTCATTCTGTATATTTAAGGAATGGGTTCATTCAGTATGAACATGTTTTGTTGTGAGATTGACATTTTTGAGATAGTGATGTGCTGTTGTTATTGATTGGTGATATGTTTGTATTTGTTTGTATATGATAAAGATTAGCGTTTTATAGTATTTGTACGAACTAATGATTCTTTCGTAATCGATTACCAGATTTCTCAAGTTATTTGGCCAGATATGGGTCATCCTAACGATTCATAGATTTTTGAACTGAAAAAATATATCGAACAAATCAAATCATGATTGGATACAATTTTGACAGGTACTGAATCTTCTGATTATGCACTATTCTTCAATGAGATTCTTCATAAATTTGAAAAAAAATATTTCGAAAATACCAAATTTGAATGATGTCATATCAAATTTTGTTTGTTCTCGTAATGTTTTAGTTACTGATGGAAAACTTGGTTAGTGTGGAGCACAAGTTATAAGTGAATTCAAACGTTTTTACGGTTCCAAAAGTCCCATATTGATTGTTATTTATCCTCACCATGAATTCGCTTCCAGTAGATCCTCTAGTCGGTGTGAGAAATTTGCTTTAAGTAAGGACTTAGTATAGGTACTTTTGGGATATGAAGATCTAACATTATTTCGTGTAGGAGTATTGTGTTGGATAACCAATGGTTCGAATTATATATATCAATAATTTAAGCAGACACAACCGACACAGTGTTCAAATACAACTTCAGGAACCAGATGACTTGGTTCCAATTTTGATTGTTAATTTTAATACTAATGAGTACATTCTAGATCATACAGATTCTACATCCAACACACAGTCGGATAGATGCACAATGAACCTAGTGGGAAGAATTGCAATCGACTGTAAAAATTTGGATTCTAATATAGGCTGTTGCGGTTTTGGAATTTGTACGAGCTACTGATTCCTTTGTATTTGATTACCCACTGGTTACGATTTCCAAATACAATAAGTCCGTTTGCGCTCGTTTAGGTCTACCAGGATTAAATCCCTGGAAAAATTAGCACATTGTTTCAAACACTTATAATTATCATACGTTTACAGAAATTTCCATGAGGTACTTGATTAGTCTTTCTGAAATGTTAGTTAAGATATAATTTGTTTATCAGTGATAATTGGGTATCACTGTGTCTGTACATAGCTTGATAGTGTTGTATTATGTCTGTAATTTTCAAGTGCATTGACTTGTTTCGATGTATTTGGCAAGGTGGTGTTGTGCGCTAGAAGTGAAGGTGAGTAGTAAGTGAACAGTTTGAGTTTTATCTGTATGTGTGGGTTATTTGTGTATGAGTAAACATGTGAATGAGTGTATTATTTCCTGAATGACGGTTGCGAGAATCGACTGATCTCGTTAGTTGTAAATGTCAAGTATATTAAAAGCACTGTCCAAAGATTATTCTATTGTGAAAGTATAATTTCAAGTAATATGAACAGAAATTTAACAATGTGAAAGAGGATATTTGTACTCTAGGATATTAACCTTAGGACTGTTGTGATATTTGTGCTGAAAGGATTTGTTGTAAGGCTTACTCGTGAACAACATCAGTATGTGCTTCAAAATGAAGTTATATCAAAACACGAACCCTTTGTCCATATTAAACGGCTTTAATTTAAGAAAGGGAATAAACTATATCGAAAGTACAAAATGCCTCAAAAGCTAAAGCCTGTGCTATACAGTCAAAGATTTTTTAACACGAACAAACGTGCTTGACAACAAAAGAATCAGTTAATAAGCAAGAGTTTGATCCATAAGAATCAATAAATATTCTTTCAACAAGATACGATCGAATATCCATTTGTAAGTATCCCAGAAACCTTTATGAGTACACAGTCAAAAGCTAACAGTCATAAGCGGAACCGAATCGTGACTATGAGGTTATTCTGCCACGATCTTAACGCCAATGGTCCGGCAACATGCTGCGGAAATTAAGCAACAAAAGTAAGTCTTTATCCAAGGCCAAATAATGAAAGAGTTCATGAGAATGACTGAAGAATATAATGCATGGTTAAAAAGAGACCTGAACAAAGGTTAAAATATGAGACAGGAGGGAGAGATAAATAAATTACAATACTGCCAAATGAAATGCCATGGAGACATTTTCAGCGTTTTCCTTCCGTTACAAGTGAGTTTACTTGGATAGTGAAAGTTGCTCTTTAGGTGATGATATCAACGGCGTGACAAGAACGAAAACTTCGACGGTATCATCCACTAATAATCTGGGCCGAAACTCCGACGTAGTGTAGAGTGGTCTAAAAGCATGTTAAAACAGTATCCTAAGTTTAAAAGGTTTTAGGAATGCAGGTATCCTACGATTTGAAGTCTTATGCTAACTGTGACAAAAGTGACTTTCAAGCAAACTTTGCACTGGTAACATTGGAGCACATTTTTGGCCAATTTGACGGAAGAACTTTCCACATAGTCTTCAACAGTTTTATTCGTCCCCATTTAAGTACGGAAACATAGTATTTCCTCCCTTACTCCAAAATTATAAGAACACTCTGTGCGTATCCAAAGGCGAACCACGAAATCAGTTCGGGGACTAGAATTCAAGCCTTATGAAGAGCGCCTCCATTCGCTAAGCGTTTACCCTTTGGAGAATAGGCGTCTTAGATGTGACCTTTTAATGGCTTATAGCATCCTTAACACTTCTGCATATCTCCTTAAACACCCACTTAAGTTTAGCTCCAACCTAAGGAGTAACACCCATAAGTTAAAGACACAACACAGCAGAACGGATTGTGAGCACAACTTCTACTCTTTAAGAGTTGACAAATTCTGGAATTCGATGCCGGCTGAGTTTGTCCATGCGAATTCCAAGAACCTTTTGAAGAGGCAACTAGACCTATTTTTATGGACTAAGGATAATATCTTACAATGATTCACCAGTTTCTTTTTCCAATATTATCTTTAATATACCTAGGTTGCTGCCTGGAGGTATTGGTGATCCCTTGCTAAGCAAAAGCTGCATCAATATCCACAACCATTTGAACCATTTTGAGTACTGCAATTTAAGGTCAAGAACTGCGGCGCTTTCATATTGGTCCGCTACGATGCACGAAATAAATATCGATGATATAAGTTTGGGTTCTGGATTCTCACATGCTAGATACGCGTCTGTAGTTTCAGCCATAGGATTACATAATCGAAATTTATTCATAGGATCCTCCTCTATATCAGGTGAAAAATGATACCTTCCTAGATGCAAAAATAAATTTGTGGTGTTAAAGATATTTTTGCAAACCAGTTTTTCATTATTATAAATAATTGATGTAACTGGATGTATTACGGCCTATTTTTTACAGTTCATCTTGTACTTCTTTAATTGTTAGCTCTAGTTGGTAAGCTGGTCTTAAGGTTTAACGTTTTTCTGTGTTTATTAAACATTTCTGGTAAAAGGTCGAAGTTTAGTAGAATACGGGGAGATAAAATAAAGCACCCCTTTATCAGCAAAGGCCAATTTATTTTTCTCCCAGCATTAAAAAATCTATCGTGGTCGAAAATTTTCACAGTAATCTATTTTTGCAACGTACTAAATGTTGTAAAATTAGATTTTATGAACAGGTTTTCGCAATAGGATCCCTATCAAGCGTTAATTGCTTAACGGACATACTTCCGGCGCAAAAAATAGTGAAGTGTTGTTTTTATCAGTGCCTTCGACTTGGTTTTCTACTGTTTTACTGATACCAGACGTAGTCTTACCTTCATCACAATCACTTGTAAACAAAGTATCGTGACCAACTCTGACTTATCAAAATAATATATCGCCACGCTCATCACAAAGTCCTAATCTACTGAGTTAATCTTATCAGATATTTCTTGCTGAATTATAGATTAGGAAGCTCAGAATAATCCATAATAAGCACTGTTAGAAACCATGAGTATTTGTTTTTTATCAACTGTCTGAATGAGGACATAATGATAAACTCTTCTACGTCATCCATTAATTATTGTCTCACCGCTAGACTTTGTAGATATAAAGTTCGAAGGGATGAATAAGTTGAAAAGCATGTATATCATGTCATATGAGAACGGATATGACTCCTTGATTATAAATAATGTTAAATAACACTGATACACTGCATTTGTGTTTTTGTTCACCATAGGGGATCTATGGGGCGGCAGCTTGGTCGTCTACAACCTGAAGAACTTAAGAAATTATTTTGGTCGTATTGCATATAAAGATGAATCGGCTGTAATTGATGACATCTCTCAACAAGTTGTTACGGAGACTTCTTTCGACTCCTCTATCGCATCAATAGCACCATTGAACTTAAGTTGCAGTGAATTAACAGATGCTGTTGTGATTGGTTTAGATGATGGTTCTATTCAGTTGGTTACATTGCGTGAGATGTCAGCCAATTCTCATCAGTCACAAATGCAGGTATCCATCTTTTTGTTTATATATATATATATATATATATATATATATATATATATCGAAATATTTATTTGTTTTTCGTCAAACTTAGATGAATAAAAGTAAGGTAGTGGCTTTGAGGTTAAGATGTTCTACTCTCAACCACTAAGTAGAAGGTTTGAGCCCTACTCCACCTATTTGGACAACCGGGTTGTATCACTAACCCTTACCCAGAATGTGGCTCGTATACAATTAAATGAAGAAACTAGTTCGATCCAAAGTTTATTTTAATTAAAGTAGAATACATGCTAACTATATAAAGCAGTTATATAATCACAGTGTTTGTAAAATATGAGTAAATCGTCATGTTTTTGTGGAGTAAACATTTGACTTGTTTGAAATTTATGCCATAGATCCAAGTTAGCTAGTTATGAAAATGACTTCATTTACTTTGTTGACAGTATTCGACACTAAAAATACAAGACAAACAAATATAGACTTGGTGGAAATGTGTTGCTTCGATCTACCACACCTCACAGAAAATAGAAGAAATACAAATAATCGCAAAAATACATTGTTAATAAAAGAGATAAAGGGAGGCTAAAAACCAAGTAAAAACAGGGGTGAAGAAGTGTAAAATAGTCTTGTGTTTATGATTTAGATAAAATTAAGGATTTCATATTATTTGAAATAGTGACAGTATTTAAAATTTCTTCGATTCGATTCCGTTTGCACTAGTAACACGACATCAGTTAATACACAGCGACTGATTGGTTTATTTATTAACTCATTTACCGAATTCATGGGCTTGGATTTGAAATACGCTCTAAGTTTGAGCGCTAGTGACACTAACCATTCACCTAGATCGGGATAGGTGTAGTGGAGTTCGGACTTGTGGACTATTGAGATTTTGATGGACTTCTATCTGAAGTTTGTGCTGATGATGTCGTTAAGAAGAACGATGGAAGCTCCACGACCAAACCATCCAGTTCAGAGAACAAAACTCCATCAAAATCATCCACCTGAGCTACAAATCTTCTCCACTATCTCACTATTGAAATTGTAAATGGAACACTAAAACCACTGAGCTATTCTTCCTGATTAGTAAGGACAAAACGTTGATGAATTTGCACCACTATGACTAATTTTAGGCCATATTACTCATCATTTGAAGAGGCTTTAGGGCACAAAATCGTAAAACTTATTTCAGTCGAAGGAAAAATCTTTTGTCTGTATTATATCTATGAAAAAGATAAAAATGATATAAGGTAACGCAGTTTTATTGGGCTGCAAGTTATAGTCAGTTCGTGCGTAATAATTGGCATGAAATCGAACTAGTTAATTAATACTTAAAACTCTTATGCTTGGTAAAATAAGTGGGCAGTTTAGTCAATTTTCTATTGTCTCTATAAGAAAATTTACGTCCGACCACTCTTATCGTGTGATTTCTATAAAAAATTAAAATTGCAATTATTAGTTGTTCTTTAATCGTAATTTCTTTGTACTTTACGTTGCCATCTATTTCTCAATAGCCATTAACGATCAATTCTGCTACATATCATGATTGGCCGTTGAAGAAAGTAATAGCATCTCAGACCTCAGGGTCTACGAATCCTCATATCATAACATTAGATGTAGCTGGATGTGTAAAAGTAAGTTGATGCACATTAATTGTCTTTTACCGGATCTAAGATATTCTATTCTCTTGCAAGAAATGATGAACAAGATGTGTTCCTCTAAAAGAAGATTTTTGGTGAAACTACATTCTCTGAGCTAGGTGACTTAATTTTAAAACTTTTACTGTCTTTCTATACAACGTCGTTATCAGCACAAACCTCAGTTAGAAGTGAGCTATAAGGCTTTCTTTACACTTGAGTTATGACTTGTTCTGTTGATTTTGATTGGTCATTGTTGTTTACGATTTTCTTATTGTTACTTGCATTACCATAGTCTACTCTGTAATAAAATAGCTGGGTTTGGAGGAGTAAGTTTCCAAATCGATGTAAGTGGTATCAACTCCACTTTGCTTTTGTTGCTTGCAATTTTTTCATTGTGTATTCATTTTATCGTTTGTCAGTCATAATTTTTAAAACAAATAGGAAGGTAGTGTAATGAAAGTTCGTCATACTGTTTTTATTGCTCGAATTATGTTGCGTTGCATACTAACGATTATTAAATATATTGACCATAGATTTCATCTAACATCAATCAGTCACTAAGTAGTGTAAGTTATGTCTTTTTTGTCTTATCCTTTCTATGCTGATCGAATCTTATCTGTTGAGTTTTAATATGACTACTCCCGGGTTAATCTTTTGCAAGAAACCCTTGAATCTGTGTCTCGTGCTAGTTGGTACTCATCAGTAAGGCCTACGTGCAACCTTGATGGAACTGATGCTCCCTGGAGGCTTCGAACTCGTATTACTCAGCTCCACTCTAAGAGACGTCACTACTGAACTATTGAGGTTCGTGGCTAGCATTGTGTAGGACTGAGTTGTTTACAGTTAACTGACCACTGAGTGGTAACCAATATCTTAGTTATCTAGTCCTTTAGTACTCATAAAATCCTATCCTGCTGACTGATTACTTTCAACCACCTAGAATTGTATATTTCTTTTTTATAACATATGCAAACGAACAATTTGTTATTCAATGACCCAAGGAGTTTAGAGATAATATTAGGAGTTCGTGTTAAAATTTAGAATTACGAGTTCGAAGTGATTGTTAAGAATTAAGTGAAAGAAAGCCTTATGGATAAATACTTATACAGGTAATTCTTTGATTTTCGAATATCAAAAACCTTTCATTTACCTTTAAAAATCAATGAATCATGTTTATCAATTTTTGAGCATCGTAATAAATAAATATTGATATATTTTACCTAGTCTCTGATAAGATACAATGTATTCATCATGTAGATTTGGATCTCAGTGAAAAGTTCAAATAGCTGCTATCTTAAATCTGATTAGTTCGTTAGCAAATGTATTCAATTCAAATAAAACAGCTCTTCATAACACTTTCGCTCTTAATAGTTATATAGGTGTAACTAGTTCATCATGTGAAATTATTTCTGCAAATTTTATTATCTAATTCAGTAAGATCATTTGAATAGGACAGAAATAATAAATGTAGCAGAATAATATAAATTCAGTTTATTTTGTAACGTCTTTTAACTAGTGTCTCAGAACGATTACGTAATGAACATTTGTGATTAAGGTCACTATAGAAGAGCAAGATTATTGAGAGTGTTTCTCGGATGCATAGATTTGTTTTCTTCTTGTAGCATTTGTTTCAATAAAAGATAGTAAATCCAACGTCCTCTGTTTACTAATTATCTTGAAAAACTTTGAAACACCAACCTTGGTCACTGTCAAACAAGTGACAAGTAGTCAAATTGCTGAAAACATTCTTTCCTTTCAATCTAAGCTTCTGTAAAATGTGCCCAAAGATGAGGACACTAATCTTCTTTTCTGTTCTTGAAATATATATATATATATATATATATATATATATATCTTTTGGGACAAATGTAAACTGGTAGACACGAATGTAAAATACGATGAGAATTTGTTCAGATTTGACTGTCTCAATGAATAATTCGTTTGATACAGAGATATCAGTTTAACGGCTGAATACATTCTTTCTAACATAACATTTAATCCGATATCAATCTTTCTAGTTAGTTTATCACCATTGAAGTCAAGCTTTAGGAAGACAAACTTATTTTTAACTGCAGCTCATGAAAACTGGGAAAACATCTTGTCATCTTATCTATCATTAATGTCCTATATCTTGACTTTTCAATGAACCGAAACAATAAAACTATATACTTGCTGTTCATAATTTTCACTATTTCTCTTTTCAGAACAATATGAGTTTGTTATTGATTGTGTTTCTCTCAAGTTTTACGTGTTTACTTTGCTAAAATACGGGTTAAACTAAATAATTAGTTGGTACATATGCATATATGTATATATGTAAATCTCACAATATACAAAATAAAAATGAGAGTGAACTAGTGTGATTAAGAAAATGGTACTGTTGATATTATCTGTATTAATGAATGAATCAAATATTTAGTTATTTTAACTACGTGACTTCTAGATTACATTCACTCACCCACCAACTAAACTATCTTGTACAAATAAAGAAATGAATATATATATATATATATATATATATATATATATATATATATATATATACATTGTATAGGTATTTTAATACACATTTAAGACTATTTTACGGAAAAGTAAACTTGAACAGAGATTAAATTGTCATTCTTGTCTATGTGTTTATATGGGTTTCATAAGTTCTTTTAAATAATTCATTATACAATAAACCTCTGTTTACATAGCTGTACTTTGAATTTAAGAAATCTATTACTCAATCATTAAACAATATTAAGATCTGATCTAAGTTTATATCAGTTCAAATTATGTTACATTTCACATAAGCTTAATGAAAGAGGTAATTAATCGGCTAAGTGAAATTATGTGGCTTTAAACTATAGGATCTGTTATGCTTTTCTACTGTTTGTTATTCTTTAATCCCAACACTTTACTCACCTTTTTCCAAATTAGAACAAGAGTTGAAAGCGAATAACCTATATTTTAATAATTGAAATAATAACGATATATTTTGTAAAAATATTTGATTTTACATAAGAATTTCTTCATTTCTCGACTTGTTCACTGATGTTAATTGGTCTAAAATGTACTTATGTGTGTATATCTCTTTGGACCTGATCAAAGTATATGATAGTTAAGACTTCACTTGGTCATAAAGGTCACAGGATTGAACGTTGTTCTATCTAATTAGATTTTGGCAAGGTTGGGAGAGGAGTTGTTGTGCCTCATTATCCAGTCAACTATATTCATAAACTTGTACTTGGTAAATGAGTTTAGGTCTATTCAACTTTAGAAGCTTCTGATAGAAAGTTTTCTCACTCTAAAATTACTTCTAAGGTTTCGTTTGTTTAATTAATGGGTAAATGACTTGGCTGTTGTATATAATAAACTACGTTCTGTTGTACTATTACCGAGATGAACAGCTATTATCGTTTAAAATGCGATAAATGAAGTTATCATTGTTGATTGTATGTTTTTCGCAAGTCTTAACAGGGCACGTTTGTGCTAATGATTTCATAGCTGACATCGATTTCCATTATTCTGCAAGTCTTGAACTCTAATGAACCAGAAAGAAAGTTGTACCATTAATGCTTTACTTTGAAGTTTGTAAAAGCAAAGAAAGCAACCGCTATCAGTAGTGGTTTCGAGAATTTAAATAGGATATTTCAGGATCGTTCACAATGAAGCAGATGGACTAATTTTTATGGAGTTTTGTCCTCTGAGCTGGAGGGTTTAGTCGTGGAGCTTTCATCGTTCTTCTGAACGACATCATCAGCACAAACTTCAGTTAGAAGTGAAGTGTTCGAATTTCTCAACATGTGGTTCACAGCTTGTCCTGTAGACGTCGATGTTGATTGGTTCTTGTTGACTTAGTAAAACCTAGTAGATATAATTTTCAATTGAAAATGTCTGCATCTAACAAGGGAAAATTGCACGAATGTTATTCTAATTACTTAATTGCTATTTAATCTTCACTTTGCTTACATCGAACATAATTGTTTTTCCTCTTCATTCAATATTAAATTGTTCGATTTTCATTTTTGTTTTATTCATTTCAAATTAGTTATGGGATTGTCCATCTTTAATGCCTATTAAATCATGGTCTATCAATTCTACAACATGGCCTGTTAACGGTTCTGCTTTCACTCCAGATATTTCTCTACTATCTACTAATAATACTAATAACATGATAAATCATCAAAATAATTGTGAAAACTTTTTATTATCAACTTTAAATCCATTAGATGTGAAACGAAAAATTTGTTTATGGGATATTCGTGTCAATGATGTATCTAATCCAATTGTAATTCAATCAAGTGACTGTTCAAATGTTACACATGATTTACCAACGTGAGTTTTAATGTATGTATATTTCTCTTGTTGTTTTTATCTTACTTCAATTATGGTCAGTGTTGAGAAAAGATGGGTATTTTTAAAGTAATATTTTGATGGAAGGATCAAAGATGATACATTGTTGGAAATGTCATATGATAGACTACATGAAATCATAGACCCTAAGTTTCTTACAATTCGATACTAGAGAGTTTCCTTCTAACTACTTTCAACCATCTTACATCGAAAGATAGTACAAACAAAAACGTCACTTAGACTAATGATCATATTACAAATGAATCGATTGTTTTTGAATAACACGAATGATTAGACAAACACAAAATCGACCACTACTCAGTGGTTGATCATTGTAAGTATTTCTGTCTTTCAGGAGGTCAGTTGGGAATCAGTAGTAACTCCTTGAACTATAAAGATGGGTGACGTTTATTCTAATCCCACTGCGAGCATCAGCTCACTCAAGATATGGAAGTTTCAAATCACTGTCTGACTTTTGTTAGCCAACCATTGAAAACCTACGAACAGAAACTGGTCAGATGTCATTCCTGATTATCAACAACAACATAATTCAAACTCTTGGTAACAATGAAATACAATTTAGAACCGTCTGTCTGGTCTTAGAAGCTCAGTGGACAACACATACATGTTTGAATTCGAGGGCCTTAAGTTCGAGTCCCGAGGTAAATATCAATAGTAGAATGCATCCTTATGCAGTAAGTGAATCGCGTGTAAGAAAAACAGAGCGTCTTGGATTTTACTGCTAACCAGAATCCGTCTATTCGATAATATAATATAATAGCTTTGTCGAAGCGATCCGCATTGGATGCACAAATCCCAACAGAGACTAACCAAATTTCATTCATAAATATCACCAACAGGTTATTTCAAACCATTATTAATAATAATGGTGATCTTAGTCTTTTGAGATTGTATTTGGTAAATTTACTTGATTTTTTAAACTTATTCCTTTGTGCCTTAAATCATTTTTATTTACAATTATATGTATATATGTTTTATTATTTTAATTTATAGAGCACTCAGTTGGCTTTCAACAAATCATTTGCTATTAGGAACTTACGAAGGTCATTTATGGATTTATGATATTCGCAATCCTAAAATGGAACTAACAAATGTAGATGTTACAGATACAAATCAAACTTTCAAATTGTCCTCAAATAGATGTAAACAAGTATGCATATTTAATAAGTCTATATTTAAATCTAAATGTTTTCTATTTCGAGTTAGTTTTTGTCACAGAATAGCTTTAGTTGAAGAACTATCGAAGTCTAGGGATCACTCACTAAACACTCATTCCACCGTAGTTTGAACTCATCAACAATGTGCACCTACTACTTCACCAGCGGTAAAATGTTGAGTCGTTGTAGCTAATTAACACAGGTATCATCACTCTATATCATAAATTTTAAAAAATTTGAAATTAGAACCAATGAATGCTGAGTTTGATTTACCCCCTAATGAATTGGTAGATATTGTATAACTTTGGAATGAGAACCTTGGAATTCTCAGATAATTCACACTCCAGATTAATTGTCGGATTGAATTTAATACATTTAAGTCTTTTATGGTTATGTTATTAGTCAATTATGTAAGTAAAATATATGCCAATCTGATTGTTGAATTCCAGTTAGCTCACTTTGTGTGAAAAAATGTACGCTTATCAAACTAAATATTTATCAAATTAGATACTAACAATCTATGAGACACTATCCAGTTGTTTGAACTAAATAAGTTTCAGGACTCAAACATATATATGTGTATTACGTATGCTCAACCACTATCTATCTCTGTGGGGAATGTTTCGGTTATGTATATAAGCACGTTGAAAGAAAGCTAGAGATGATCAAATCGAAACATAGGATCATAAAGTTGGCTTGGGGTCCATTTATTAATTGCAACCAGTAGTTAGAAACATCGGGTGACATGACTCGAAATCAGTCACAATGGTACAGATTCATTCACTCTTTGTTTCCCTTTAGATTTTGAATTTTAAAATTATTTTATTTTTTACTATTTCATAAGTTCATTCTTCTCGATTCATGCCTAATGTTTTTTTTATCATTGATAATATTATTGTGGTGTGCGCTACATATGTGGATCGATATAAGTAGTATGTAGTAGGAATTTGAAGTGGAATGCTTACCAGCAGAGGATTGAAATGAAGAGAACAGGAAGGAAAACGGAAATCACTCAGAGTAACAACAGAATTAGAGGAACGATGGAGTATGTAAAGGGTTACTGAAGGAATATATGCGAATGATGTATTTAATCTGTGATAATTTTCATATTTTACAAAGATTACTGTGCAATTTTGCATAAAATAATATATTGGTTTACCGTACCTGAGTCTTCGTTCACTACATTACCACTTTCATAACTCTGAAACTTGTGTTGATAATCCCGTTTCACCGTGCTGTAATAGCTTGGTAACTTGCACTAATGCACATCTGTCCCGCGTTATATGTTGTTTGTAACTAACTGACTGTTAACATTGATGATTAGAAACATAATGTTCAAAAAATTGGCTCGCATCTTCGTGTATATGCCTACGATGCATTAGAACAGCATATATAAGCGAACAATATTGTTTTCGATTAGATCCTCATCAGGCTTTACTCTAACATACAATAATATTTATATGCATATACGGAATTATTGGACCAATCAAGGCAGTTTATGAGTTAATGATAACAGTGTTATAGATTACATAAATAAACATAATAATCGAAAAGTACAAATTGATAGTATGATGACTGGCGTACTAGCTATAATAAGAATAATGAACGCTTGAATCAGTGTTACGTAATGGGGAATAGGTCAGGGATTAGAGAAATATAGACACTGAAATAACTTTCATAAAAGATTATAAGATTGTGTAGTAAGAAGTGTTCAGATAATTGGACAATGAAGCGTATATCTAGGGGGAAAATATGTGGGAGGGGGTAAAAAAACAAATGAAGAAAGAGTATAGAGAATAGTAATAAATAAAATCATTTGTTAAGGCCAAGAGAGAGATAAAGGTGTTACAAATTTCTTATAAATACAACGACTTAGATTGTTGGCTCGAATTCCTATAACTTCTGTCATGTGTAAGAGACAAGATCGAACCCCGTAAGTAAAACTAGTAGGAATACGATAAATAACTTAAAATCGTTTATTTCTGTCCACTACATGACCACTATTTATCAAGTGTGATAGAACAACGCTGTGTATTGTTTTGACAGTACCCTTTCCTAACCTCGAAGAGGGATTTTCATTAACTCGTTGGCTCAGTTGTTTGTTAGTGCACCAAATATGGCTTTATTCACAGGAGCAGCTGGATTTGTAGATACACATAAATGTGGCAAGACCCGGTAACTTGTCCTTTAATTGAGGAATCACCATAGATCGGGTCAAAATTTCTTCTTGGCATATTCGTTTTCATAACTTTTTGTTTTTATAAATTCAATTTCTTCTCTTTTTTGCTTATTCCACATCACACAGATTGTTGAAATCCTTACGCATAATTACCCAGAAACATCAACTGAAAATATTCATAATACTTCCAAATATATCGGACTAATTCAAATCAATGGTTCAATAGATGTTTACCAACAGAATATATCAACATTTAATGTATCAAATGACATGTTTACACATGTATATCATGATGATGGAAAATCAATCACGAACATCGATAATAAATGTTATGGAAGAGTTAAACCATGTGGTTTGTTTCTATCTTCTGATCTTATGAATTCTGAACAACCATGGAGATTACTACTGTCAACTGGTATTCCTGACAATAATCATAATCTATCATTAACAAATACTTCATCATATACTGCTAACATGAATTATCATACAACAACAACAACAACACCAACTATACTTAATTATCAACTTCGTGTATATCCAAATGTAATTCAAACAAATATTCCAGGATTCAATAATCTCTCTAGAATTCATTACATAAAATTACTTAATATATAATGTACATGCGAAATACGAAATTCATATCAAAGTATAAAATGTAGTGTATAATAAATTTACAGTGATCTTACTCCACTGATTATTGATTTACTTCTTCTCTGACTGGTTGTGATAAACAAGAATGTGTATAATGTTAAAAAGAAACAAAAGATGGATAAGATTCAATTAATATTGTAATGTATTTATTTTGTATTTGTGTGTATGTATATGTAAAATTCAGAATTGTACATTTATTGCATTTAATAGTAGTAATACGTTTGAGAAATAAAATCAATTATTCGTTTTTGTAGAAAAAAGAAGCAACGAAATTTTCATGACTTCTTGATTTTATGCCTTTTTGAGTGTAGTTCGCTTGTATAATTAACTTTGTCCGTTGTCGTTGCTGGTGTTGTTTGCTTTACACACACTCCCTTATCCTCAGTTGTTTTATTTGAATGTTATCTAATGTTTGATGCTTTCTGATGTCTTCTTATAATCAATAAGTTGGGTGAAGTAATTGTTATTGGTTACGAAAACTGTTGATGAGATTTGATTTGTAGGGGTTTTTATTTTCTCGCTTTTGATGTCTCAGACTACTATTGATCAGTTTCTGTGAAGATATATGTGGAGCGGTAGCTTAGTGGTTAAGATGTTCAGCTTCTCAGGTTTAAACCCCGCTGCACCACCTACGTCAGTTCGGGCAACCGTTCAGTATTACTAATTGAAGTGTGACTTATAATCAAGTACCTTGTGAATGAGTCTGATATTTTTTCTGTGTACGTCTAGAAGCCTTAAAATCATCTGTGGGAAAATGTAAACCTTACGAATAAAATCTATACTGATCGCCTAGTGAACGAAGAATCGGTGGGAAAACCAACTTATTTTTTATGCAAAATCAAACTGTGGCTTTATAAAACATGAAAATCATACGCAGAATACATCATTTGCATATCTTCCTTTAGTTATCTTACATACTTCACTATTCTTCCGTTGTTATCGTTCTGATTGCTCTTCTCTTTCCTTCTCTTCTCATTTCGATTTTCTGCTAGTAAGCATTCTACTTCCGATTTCTACTACTTACTGCTTATGACTGTCTGCATATATAGTGCACACCTCAGTCGCACAGGTCAACGACTATCTGGGATCAACCAAATGTCACTAGGTCAAAGTCTCGGTGTGAGTATCAGCACTGAGGCACAGATGCATTCAGCTGATGAGCTATAGATAGGATGAAACACATTTCCTAGGTTTCGCTGCTAGCCATTATCTGACTGTAATAAAAACTTGTTGGTGAAACTGTGGTGTGCTACTTATGTAGACATAAGTAGTATATGATGTCATTCGTGAACAGAATGTCTAGCAGTAGAGAAACAAGAAGATCGAACAGTAAAGAATGAAAACGCAAGAACAAAGGAAGTCTGAGTCATCTGAGACAATTGATGGATATTTTGCAAATTGAGCACTTACTATATGGTTGTTAGATTTTACTAACTAGTTCTGTAATTTGGTCTTAGGTTAATTGGTGTACTAGTTTAAAATTGTCAGTGTTGTTAGTTTATTCAGTGGTTAGTTTTCAAACATTCTTTTTTACGTTTCAACATCAATTCGAGTACTATTAAAAATTAGAGTAGATTCAACAGTTGTTTCATTGTCCTCACCAGTCCACACACATATAAATCCACTAGGGATCTAACCCAGTGCTCTTTGGACCTCGCATTACTGATGAATGTCATACGAGGATGAAACAACTGTCATATTCACCCTTGATTTTTATTAATATCCCATTTGATATCAGTCCGTAACAAGTATCATATAAAAAGTAACCTAATCTTCACAAAGCTCTATAAAAAAAAATGAAGTCAGTCTACTTTCATTAGTCCATTTATACTATTCTAACTGGTTAATCTATTTTAATTAACAATTACATTATGTTACAATCACTTAATGTATAAGTTGACCAACTGAAATGACTGTCTTATAAATAATTTGTATAACAAAAATAATAATTATTACTGGGTTTATTCAATATTATATTTTTGGTACAATATAGAATTCTCAGAACAAAGTATTTCAACAAGTGTCCGTTTTTTATTTCTTGATCGATCCTAACGATAAATATTGAGTGATCGCCAGTTAGATGTTAGCAGTTCAGGAATCAATATGTGAATAATGTATATTTTTTCGATGCATGCTGCCAGTCACCACAATGTCTTTGGTTGTACTTTTTTGTAACTTGTACATTGAAAGGTTGTTAACAAACGAAAAACAAACAAGTGGCTCAAATATTCAAGCAAACCGCCAACGATTCTTCGTTTATATTGCATATTAAATAATATGACCACTGTTATGGTATATCTAATTAAAAAATACTATAAATTTATGTATTCGGTTAAGAGTAGTCAGATATTTTGTATATAATTAGGGCAAGGTTCGAACCAGTGATTGATTTAACTATTAATCATACGTTTTGAAACGAAAATAACTTTTTTACTAAGAGTGATTTATTTTTTCTGGAATAGATAGATTGTGGCTATCGATAAAATTCAGCATGTGCATCTTGTTCCACTTAGGAGACCTCACTGAAATGTACCTCTGTCTCACTAGATGTTCACGTTGAGATTCGAACCCGGTACCTTTCTCTTCAAATGCCAACTCATTATCCGTTAAGCTATTGAGTCCAAATGCCCGTTAACTTGTTCAATGGGTGCTATGTTTATACCATTATTTGTAACGGTTCAAACTATTCCATCGGTACGAAATTTTAATCAGTCTTTATTCGCATACATACATCTTGTGTGGACTGCCTCAGCATAGCCATGTCATTACATGTCTTTCTTATCAGGATATATGGATTGTAGCTAGCGATGGGACCCAGGATTCTCATTTCAAACCCTTACTAACAAATTTTTGACTATTGAGCATTGATTCTCACATTATTATTGTGTCCCATATTGATTATTTTCTTCATAAACGGTTAAACTTTGAAGTACTTTTATAGGGTAGCCTTTTTATCGAACGGCTTACCGAGTTGAACCCCAATCTACTTAATCTTGGTTAAGTCACCTAGTTAGAATTTAGTTAATTTTCTCTGACTGTTTTACCTCATCAATAACAATTATTAATCCTAACATGTGCATAGATTATTTTTATGTGAAACATTTATTTTCTCTCTAGATATTTTCACTGTAAGTTATCATCATTAAACGAAATGGATTGAAAGTAGCAGTATATAATTGTAACTGGTCGATGTTTCAATTAACTGTTGATCTTTTAATCGGTGTGATTTCATCCTTATTTACCCAGTAATTAGATTTGAAGTTCCCAATGTTCATGGTCTAGTTTTTTCAGCTTTGATCCTTAAGAGCCAAAAAAAATATTAATTGGCAGCATTGTCGTTCTCGACATTATCATCACCCATTTCATGTAGGAGTGAGCTCATCAGTTATTCAACAAATGTTATGTCAGTGCATTCTGATGGCCTTGTTCATAATTGTTTGTCTTTATTTGTTCTTAGATTCATGTTGACTACAAATCACAAACAAGGCCAATCAGGACGAATTAATATAATACTTGTGGAATTACTGAAAAACTCACTTTTACATGAAGTAGGTGGTGATGAAATTGTCTGCAATAACAATGAGACCTCTGTAATTAAACTATACAGCTCAGTAAACACAGTACTACGGAAAGCATCCACCTAAACACTTGTTATTCTTATTCACCTATTTTATACTACTAATAATTACGATGTATGGTCGAATAAACAAAACTTATTCACATTGGCATAGATATATCTACTTGGTACCTTCCTGTAAATGTTATTCTCAGTATGAGATTCCATACTTTTATCGCCTGATTCCTGATTTGTTGTGCCAGATTATGCATTGTGTGTGTTTATTTGTCCCCCCCTCTCAATCTTCCCCGTCTTACAATTTGTCGCCTAATTGTTTGTGGTGTTATAGTATATTTTCTTTTAGTGCTCTTCAAAACAAGATGATAGCTTTCGCTAAATTTATCTTTACTGTGTTTATTGTAATTTTATGCTTCTAAATTTTCATTATTGTTTTCCAAGGCTAAACAACCATATATTGAAGCAAGTGAATTAAATGCCAATGATGTACAAGTTACTTTGATTATGCAAGGTTTACAGGCGCCTAGTCGAGGATTTTGTGGACTTATTAAACCTGGTTGTTCAGGGAATTTTCATAATGATTCTTTTAATACAACATCTGCAAGTATTCGTCAACAATTAGGCAATGGATTATTAAAAGTAGAGCTTGGTGAATAGTAAGTTAGCATCTATTTATGATTCACTTCAATATTATCTATCCTTAGTTTATTATTATTATTATCATTATTATTGTTTAATGAAATTTTGACCATAATCACAATAACGATAATCGTAGATCAATGATTTTAATGATTAAAAGTATAGGGTGGTCATAGGTGTCCTTAATCCCAGTCTACATACTTTAGTTTGGGAAACCTGTTAATATCACTAACGCTCACACTGAACATGTGGTTCATAACCGAGTACATAAATTTGATATATTAATAAATATTTCATTAAAGTCATGAACTGGTCTACGTTAGATCACCATTGCAAACCTGGACTCACTGTACATCGGTCACGTCTCTTCCCTCTCTCTTCCTCTATAATAAAACGCTCTTTTCTATTTTTTATTTATTCATCAAATACTTTACTCGAAATGCTATATGAATAGACTTTTAATTGTTCGTTTAAGTAGCATGGTTACTATCCCTATCATTTTAACAATGATTATAACATCGTTTTACTAGTGAGTATAATTTCAATAATCATGTTTTCTTTTAGTATTGTGTATTTACCTTATTTATTTATTTAAATCATTTAGTTCATTAAATGTTCTATGTGAATTAACTAATCCTAATTCTACTTATGAATATTCTGTACGTCAATTTCCATCGAAAATTATACCAACATTTTGTACGTTTAAAGTGAGTTCTTTTTTATACATGGAAGTATTTAAAATAAATATGTTTTCTTTTATTAATAGTTTAATGAATATATTAATGTAATAGTAATATTCTTTCTAATCAAAATACTCTATTTAATGTGAAAATTATATTTGAAATAATCTCAGTGATTGAAATTTAAAATAATACAAACGTTTCGTCCAGTTAACTTGTCTGGACTTCTTCAGGGTAAGCTCTGTGTTTGATTATACAGTAAAGAATTCTGAAGATAAGATAATTGTCTATTAATTTCTCGCGCATCCATCGTCCAATGTTTATTATTATTATTATTATTATTATTATTATTATTTATTTTGACACATAGGTATTGGTACACGGAGGCACTAAATACATATGCGCCATACAAATCTCATTTGATATGTGTGAGGGCTGTGATACTTTCCGGGTGCCCAAACCGAAGCAGGTGGTTTTCTTAGGGGGCCACACCTGGAGCCTTCGACCTGATGATCTGATCCACAAGGCAGTGGAGCATCGTAAGGAGATGCACTCCCATGGTAGCCGGTGACCAACGATTGGTTCATACGCCATTTGTTCCTTCAGGATACTGGAGCCCATGTGCACCATTGGTTTGGAATCAGGGTTTTCCAACTCCCCTAGGTGGACTTTCCGTGTCCACCAACCCGGTTAAAGCGCCGGACATTCGCTTTTCGTCCTCTGAATTTCGTAAACAACACCGCCGCGACGAGAAGGCAGTGAGTAGGACTTCCCTGACACAGGCTATATACACGTGGCCATGTGAGAGCATTTCGAGAGGGAGAGCGGCCTATCCTCACTCTCGGCCGTACCAGGGCATTTGGGGGCCAATGTTCAATATATATAATACCTAGCATGGTTCCGTTCATCTAAAGCGGCTATTTTCTTTTTTGGTTAAATGTATATGTTGGAAACGAGTAATCCACTTCTCTGAAGAAGTGGCTTGCACCGAGTCACGAAACGTCAGAACATCTAATTTTTCTACTCATTCGGATGTTACAAATATATTATACTTATTTATAACAATCGACACAATGCTCAATTTATTCGAAATTATCAAGTCAAACCTTGATAATGATACCTACAATCAGATGATAAGTGTCCATGAATCTATAGCACCTCCGTCTTTCCATGTTCAATATATATATATATATATATATATATATATATATATATATATATATATATATACAATGTCTAGCATGTTTTCATTCATTTAAAGTGTAAACACTAAACATGATTTTCATCTCAATTTGTAACTCTCATTGTTTTTTCTTCTTTTCCTCTACCAAGTTGAGTTAGACTTAAGTGGAGATATTTAGATAATGTCAGATGATTGGAATGAAGTCCTTAGTGAATAGTGTACTCTTATATACAGCACTCATTCACTAGACGAACGAGAAAATGCTAGATGTTGTAGTTTTATTGAACACTGAGAATGGATAGTTACCATATTCCAAATTCGTAGTTTAAATATGCGAAATTGTAATAAATCACCTTCTTTTTATATGAATTTGACTTGTAAATATCCAAACATATATATATATATATGTCTGAAGTTTTCAAATAATAATCATCGATCATTCATCTTCATCTGTATTTATTTACGATTAGTCCTACTGCTATGATACCTCTTTCCATGGGTGTGTGTTAATTATTTCTTGTTTATTCAAAGGATAGGCGAAGAGGAGAATATGCCAACTACTAAAGTGGTGCTTGTTCAGTTTCTCAAATATTAGATCATAAATATTTGATAACATTACGTAAATACACGAGATTAGTAGATAAAATTAATTAATTTTAAAAAACAAATCTAGGATCAAAACATTTATGATAAGAAGAAAAGTGAGTGTATGAAAGAATGACAACTCATTAGTTGGGACAGGTTCTTGTGTTTATAGTTGTTTATTGATAAATCCTCTGACTGAACACTTGGATCGGTTTCTTAAGCTCTTCTATTAACCCCAGAATAAATCTACACGACGACTTAAATATGAGAGAAAAGGCACGAAATATGGAAAGAACGCTTTACTCCAAGGTTAGTTAATGTACAGAAAATTTAGGGTATTCATAGCATTTCAGATGGCATCGGGTTTCTGGAACCCTGCTTAACATAGTAGCAGGATAGGTAATCAACCAGTCAGAAATCTGACACATGACTCTCCACTTTCTAGATGCTTTTAAGTACCTTCTATTCAATGTTGATTGGATAAAATATTTATCAGCGTTTTCAGAACCCATTTTTCCAGGAATATTCCAGGTCTTTCCAACATATATTAGCTTCTGAATTTTGTAATTTGTCGTGTCTTAATTTATGCCAATTCTTCTTTATGCTACTACTGGTAATGCTACTACTTGTGCAGTGAACATAAACTCAGCGTAAACCAATTTATTGTTTCATGAAAAATTACTCAGTGCTTTCATAAAATATGGAAGCCATGCATTAAATACATTATTTCAACATCTTCCATTAGTTGCTTTTTAAATACTTTATAACCCTTCCAATTCTCTCATCCTTACAATTGCTCTGTTTTCCTTCATGTTCTCTTCAATCTTCTTTTTGGCAGGCATTCCACTGCCGCTACGTACGACTTATATCTATCGGTATAAGCAGCATACACCACACTTGTACTGCTTCTAGTATTTGTTTTGATAATTACATCTCACCTGTAACTAGGATAGGTTTCATTTATACTACATATCACATATATACTGGTAAACTTTTATATAACTCCTAGTAGTTTTTATTATTTACTGTCTCTAATAGCTTAGAAATTGACTGAGTTGCAGTCTGTAGAGTGTTATCTTATGAGCCTCAATTAATACCAATGCGATCCAACTAGTATCCGTCTCATGGTGGATAAAAGAAATAAACGTATTACCTCCCTGTATTTTCCAACCAGTCCCATCGTCGTCAGATAATGCACAATATGGAAGACTCCGGGACAACGTGTGTGAAGTTGATTGAGATTAGATATTAATGCCGGCTTAGTGGTCTTGTGGTTAAACGTTCGCGCGCGAGATCGAGGGCCCTGAGGTCGATTCCCAAGTGCAGGGTCGCGGATGGACACTGCTAAGGAGTCCCATACTGGGACGATACGTCCGTTCAGCGCCTCCAGGACACCGAAGGTGACCTAGATTAACATAACTCACTCGTGCTTTCTATATACGAGGCTTTATCTCCTTATTACTATTATCACTACTCAGATATCCAAACTCTTAGCCTTGCCCTAATAATCCATCATTATCTGAAGAGTACAAACACCCTAGCAGTTATCCCTAATGATATCAATAATATGTTCGTATTTAATATGAATATGATACATCTCTCGTACTTATTTCCATTTTACTAGATACAACATAATAAAGTGAAATTACGTCTGAGAAAAGCTTGTGGTTCTGAACAATGGGCTGGTGCATTAGCTGTTAAAGGTTTAGATCAAAGTTGACAACTGTACAGTAAAATATATCATTATGATTAAAATATACAACAAACATTTTGTACATGATACTATATGAGATCTATTAATTAAACTGTAATATACGTATATATATACATACATTTGTTATTGAATGTAATGCTAATGTACTGGATCAGGAATGTCAATGACTACGATTGGAGCATCGTACTTCAGTACAACGATTATATTTCAATGGATGACAATCCAATCATTCTTATAATTTCCTTCTTTTGTTTAAATGAACATGCTCTCCTTTTTTTAAAATGATTTTTTAGTGTATTATCAAACGTTTGACTTTTTTTATTCGACATAAATTACTAATATCGCTTTCCTAGTTATATTTGCCTTTTTAAAAAAAAGTGATTATAAAAATATAGGTAAATATATAATGCTTGTTTATTTCAAATTCTTACATAATTTTCTGTATAGAGATTTGTGGAAATTATCAATATTATGAACCCACCTATGCTACCTATCCATTGAAAACCTGAGGGTTATAAACAGCGGTTTCTACTCTTCAACATGCACAGACCCGTCGACGGGGATCGAACCTAGGAGAGGTTTCGCGTGGACGTTTACCCCGTAGACCATTGAACCGGGATTCAATGGCGTTTTTGTATAACTTCAATCACCATACCATATTGCGTGATCACCATTCACTGTTTTCGGTGGGTAACAACTACCTAACACTCGACACGTTTAAACCGGTTATGGCTTCTCAATAAAATCCCAGGAGGTTGTGTTCGACTCTTACTACTATGGAGTCCCATACGAAAATGAAACGGCTGCCTCTGCGAGTCATATTTAGTGTTTCTCATTACTGCTACTACAAATGTCTCGATTCCTTTGCTACCTTTCTAGTTAATTTCGTTTTTTTTTCTTGCTATTGTGATATGAGAACTTGGTTTAACATACACATTGAGTCTTGATTCCGTACTTTTTGACATTCAAAAAGAAAAAAACTTTATCGGTAGGCTCTGGGAAACTGATAGTTCTCCCTGCATTCGAGATAACCTTACTCAGTCTTGTAGTTAAAAACTTTACCAATGAATCGATTCTGGCAGGAACCTTATTCAATATAGGACTGAATGTAAGTTACTTGATAACAGTCAATAGTTTGGTATCTAATACTTTATCTAAAAGAAATCTAGTATATATAGATGTATAGTATATAAGGACGTCGAATCCACAAAATGACACCATTTTCGTCAACGTAGAAAAAATTTTACCACATTTTTACCAATAAAAGTCTACAAAATTATTGTTATGGTACGCTTGGCGAGTCCAGATACATTATGTGCGCACAACGTAAAATATGAATAACAATTACACATATTCGTCAGGAACAGAAAATAATGTTACACGTAACAAATTTCTTTTTTTTTTAATCAAGTAAATAAATAGACCAGACAATAGACTACACATAAACTACTCAGTTGGTGGTATACACTTAATAAAATGGACAGTGAGTTTGAACTTGGCGCAAATATATATATATGTGTATTGGTTCAAGTTCCAATACAATAATACATTAGCACAGAAGCAAACAATTGTTCCTTTTTTCGAAGTTGTCTTTCAATTTCACGAGAATAAAACAAAATGGAGTAATTAAAGCAACAACAAGGGAAGAATAGACTATAACGTGAAAGAATCGAACCAATCATTTAAGGGGAAAACAATTGAAGAGAAGAAAGACCGGCAACAAATTAAATAATGAATTATACCTAATGAAAAGCAAAGATAAGTAATAATAAGAGAGTGAGTTGATCTTATTATTGAGCATAGATTGTATTTTTTTTTCATTTAAAATAAAACATAATCTCAACCAGATAAGGATAAATTTACGTAGAAACACCCCCCCACACACACATAAGAGTAATAAATAATATGAAACAAATTGGTGCACAAAATAGGAGTGTGGAAAAAAAGATGCTTTTAAAGAATTCATTTCTTGTTAATTATTGTAAATAATACACTTCTTATGTGTATTGAAGGAGAAATCGTATTCATTGTTCAATTAACACATGAAATATAAATTTAAGAATAGGAAAAGATTATGCAACCGACATTAGGCACTTTAAAGCTGATCATTAACAGAGATAATAGAATACAATGATCATAATAAATGTGCATATAGACAAAAATAAAGCAATACTGAGAGAGAGCAAGAGTAACAAGGGTGAACAGATTCTTTTTATTGAATAGAATAGTATATATATATATATATATATATATATATATATATATATATATATATATATATATATATATATATGCGTACATTGGTATGTATGTTATCACATTGTCAGCAATGTAAGCTAACAATTAAGATTAGTGATTAGTAAATATAAACGGTAATGATGATCTAGTTATTGAAATTGATAATAAACACTTAAATTGTTTCTAATGGCATTAAACGTTCCAGAAATATTTTCAATGCTATTCTATCTTTTTGTAATTTTATTAATGTTGTAGTTAATTGTTCATTAATTTGACTAATAGAATCACATTGACGTTTTAATATATCCACATTATCAGTGTCATTATCATTACTATTACTACTAGTAATTAATGAAGTAATATATGGTTGTTGAGATTCTGTTAATCTGTGAAAATAAGAAAAATAATATAGAAATATTTAGTGAAACATATACCTTTTATAGAGATGGACTAATCAGTTTTTGAGTAAAACTCAAAATTGAGTTGGCTATTTTCTTTTTTAGTAAAAGTATAAATTAGAAACCAGTCAATCACAATCCGGAATATAAGTTATACGAGTTTGTGTGAGCAATCCCTGAAGAAGTGGTTTTCATTGAGTCAGAATATCTATTTTTTCTACTCATTAGGATATTACAAATGTATTACATTTATACGAATATTCGTCAAGGTTAGAACGAATAGTTTGACAGAAATTGGGCACCGAGTCAAGAGAAGTCATTATATATGAAAATTATATTTGAAATAATCTCAGCGATTGAAATTTAAGTAATTCCAACGTTTCACATCCAGCTAACTTGTCTGGACTTCTTCAGAGTTGTGATTATTACCCTGAAGAAGTCCAGACAAGTTAGCGGGATGAAACGTTGGAATTACTTAAATTTCAATCGCTGAGATTATTTCAAATATAATTTTCATATATATATATATATATATATATATATATATATATATATATTTAATTACAAAAATCTATCGAATGCTCAATTTATTCGAAATTATCAAGTCAAACCTTGATAATGATACCTACAATCAGATGATAAGTGTCCATAAATCTATAGCACCTCCGTCTTTCCATGTTCAATATATATATATATATATATATATATATATATATACAATGTCTAGCATGTTTTCATTCATTTAAAGTGTAAACACTAAACATGATTTTCATCTCAATTTGTAACTCTCATTGTTTTTTCTTCTTTTCCTCTACCAAGTTGAGTTAGACTTAAGTGGAGATATTTAGATAACGTCAGATGATTGAAATGAAGTTCTTAGTGAATAGTGTACTCTTATATACAGCACTCATTCACTAGACGAACGAGAAAATGCTAGATGTTGTAGTTTAATAGAACACTGAGAAAGAATGACTATCTTCAAACATAAGCAGTTGAAATAGTTTGTTCATACTGTTCAGAATATTTAAAATGATAGAGAAAAAATTATTCTTTTTTATCCATAGAATAAGAATGATAATTCTGTTTTTTTTTTAAGATTTCATATAACGGGTATTATTGTTCCAAAGGAGGAAGTGTTTTTATTGACTACTTTTACATCAAAGATATGATTTCAGTACGCTGTAACGGAAAGACTATCCTAGAAGTTGAAACTGGTTTCTCGGATTATAATTATTCATTACCGACATATTACTGTCATACGAATCACTATTCTTATTTTGATACCAGTCAATTTATTTACAGTCTCCCCCCATTCACAGCCACGTTTCGGTCTGTTCACGTATAATCCGTTTTTTTTATTTTATGGTCTGATGATGTTCAGTAGGTCTGTATATAAACCACTTTTGTTTGAAGCATAAATATAATTGAAGTTGGTAGTTAATTCTGTATTCAAAGGCTGGGCATGAAAAGGATCTAGCGAATAGTGGGTCAATGAGAACCTAGCTGTCAGCTCAGTGCCAATAGTTCTGAGTGGGCGTGCAATAAGCTGAATCATAGACACTAAAGCTATAGAGTAAATAACCAACCAAATTAGAACTAGGGTTCTGATTAATGACCTAGCACACGATAATGGTCAACTGATTTCAAGACATAATACAGTAATAGTAATTATCGAATTATCATCATAATTTAAGTGCAAGAAAAAACTTACTTCATTTCTTCTGAGTTGAATTCTGTTGTAAGAGATGGAACAAAGTCCTGTACATAGGAGAATAACAATGAAAGGAAAATTAGGTGATGATAATTAATCGAACTGACGGTTTATTCATAATAACTGTAGAATCGTTTACACTGATTCAAGTTGACACATCATATGAATAAAGCGAGATGAAATGATCAAAACAAATTCCATTGTAGTAGTAATGGTAGCAGTAGAAATGGTAAGAGTATCAGTAATAGTAAGAAAAAATTAAACGCAGACGACAATATGATCCAGAAAGAATAGTTCATGAAATAAAAAGTACAAAATAATTATAGGATTCAAAGGAATATAAAAGAGGAATACAACTGTTCAATTGAGATTGATTCTAAAACATGTTAATCAACGTCTCCGACGATTGAGTACGATAATCACGTGGGTCCCAACTAGGTAATCTGTACCTATATACGTGGCTCGGCTCAATCGTCAATAACGTGAACTTTGTTTTGGTGATGTCTAGCATTCATTTAACCTACTCCATTATTTTTATTTATTTTAACACATAGATATTGGTAAAAGAAGGCACCAAAGAGATATGCGCCACACAAATCTCATTTGATATGTATGAGGGCTGTGATACTTTCCGGGTGCCCTAACCAAAGCAGATGGTTTTTTTAGGCTACACCCGGAGCTTTCGACCTGAAGGTCTGATCCACAAGGCAGTGGGGCATCGTAAGGAGACACAGTCCCATGGTAGCCGGTGACCAACCGTTGGTTCATACACCATTCGTGCCTTCAGGATACTGGAGCCCATGTGCGCGTGCGGTGATTCTAAGGTATTTACAAACATACATCAGTAACCTATAAATAAAAGTTGAGTGTGAATACTGCTAAGTATACTTTAGACTGGGAAATACATTATTGTTAGTAGTCTTTTGGAGGTGAGAAACAATGGTAGAATGAACCCGTTGAAATGACAAAAACAAGCAAAATCAACAGAGATAAGTAAATTCGTAGCTTATAGTTCAATCCTACAACTGGTCCAGAGTTTTAGCCAATCAACACTACGAAACAGATATAAACATTTTTGTTACTAAGATACACACATATGGGACGGAAAATTATAATGAATTACTAATTAAGCTGGATTAAACAATCCGTACTAACAATGATATGAATTTTGACCTAACTCTCTTAATGAGTTAATATTAAAACAATTAAAATTTGAAAGTGTTAGAGAACTATATATATATATATATATATATATATATATATATATATATATATATATATATATATATATATATATATATATATACATAGACTGATCAATCCGGTGAACTTTGACGGTAGAAATACTGGGATCAAGTTTGAATATGAGTATCAACATTTGTGTGTGTGGATTAACTTGGTGAATGAGTCTCAAAGAAGATAAAACACTTGTCCTACATTTGATTATTAGCTCTACAACTCGTCTAAGCAGCAAACCTCTTAGTATTAGTAGTGTGAACACTAATAGTAGTAGTAGTAGTAGTAGTAGTAGTAGTAGTAGTAGTCCTAATTCTAAATTATGGTCTAAATTCAGTTGTTTTAGCTCAGTGTATATTGTGTTTATCAATTGTCACAAATCTCTTTTCTTCTTGAAAAATGATAGACGTTAGATTGTAAAATGATTTAAAGATAATTCCTACAATATAGCATCTGTTCAGCATATTTATTTTCTATTTCTCATAACCAGCACTAATGTCAACGTTGCCTTTTCACAACGGAACGCGATGGTTATAAAAGATTGGTCCTAAACAAATAGCATACTTTACTTTGCGTCATGGATTTCAACGCTGGAACTAAGGCTTTTAAATTGCAAAGCTAACACATCAAGAACAAGGAGTTATCCTCTGAGTTCTGCGGTTACGCCCCATAGTCATAAAGACCAATTCTAAAATAGTACCTCTTACGGATCCCTTGATAAGAAGTATTCTGTAATTAGATGAGTAGCTGGGAAGTAACAACCGCCCACACATCTCTAAAAAGTAGTCGAAATCACCTTGTTGTGCTGATATAGTGTGGTAACTTGAACCACTGCACATATGTGGCAGGTTCTACGTTGCTTACGATTAACTGACCAAGTACCGATTTAATTGAATGTTAATATGTCAGGTTGTTGGTAGATGAACAAGTGAAAGAGAGAGAGATTCCCCTCAATGGTTTTCTATGTTCTAGGCTATGTTGTTTTCTAAGTGTTATATGAGGTAGTGGGAGAGAGAAATAGAATAGAAAAACTCAAAATGTCGGAGAAATTCTAGAAGTAAGGATTAAGGTCAATACGTAATCAACTGATACACTGATATAGATCTGATTTATCAATCCGTGCTCAGAAAGTCAGCATGATCAGAGGGAAGTCAAATTAAACAGTCGACGAGGACACAGACATGAAGATAATGAAAACTGTGAAGGCAACCAGTCACAGACAAGATCACCAAAACGAACTAACTTAATGTACGTGAAATAATTTGAAGTCTTACTTTTACATTCAAATTAGTAATGATCATGAATTGTTCATATCGACAACAAAATCATCGCAATTAATCTAATCTATCCAGCTCAGAGAATGTGAACACTACAGGAACTATCCACCTGAGTTACAGATCCTTTACACCATTTTGCGATCAAAAATGTTTTCGTCCAGTACAGCTCATCTTCTAATTGCTTTATCAATTAACCTGGTCATAAAACTTCGACTAAGCTGTTAATTTTGCTTATAACACCGCTCTCCAATACTTCGATCAAATCTATTCTAAAGAATAGAACTGCCAACCAACTAGACTCTGTTAATTGTTTATTTTCGGAGGGGTGAATGTAGTGAAATAATCATTTATTTATGTAAAATATATTCAACTAAGATAGTATGACATGGGATTACTAGTCAGTTAACAAATAATATTGAAAAAACCTAGATATTGACAATATGGTACAAATGACGAAACAAAAAGGTATGATATAAAGGAAATAATGGGACTCAATATTTAAAAGAAACCAAAGAGTGAATGTATCTGTTTTATTGTAATGAACTCTAAGAAAATTCACCCAATCTCCAACCATAGATAATGATAACTGCATGGATCCCAATCAAGTAGTCCTCACCTACTAATATCAAACAGTCTAACAGTCAACGAACTTATAGAGTGATATCATGTTTTATTTCGGTCACCGCTATCTTCTATCCAACTTACATTTTACATCAGGTAACATGACAGACCGACGAACATAGTGATAAGGGACTATCGACACACAAAAAAACGCTAAAAAGGTTCATTTAAGACAAACTAAATATAGTGTACAACTAACCTCTTTCTCTTCAATTAGTGAAACATCACATTTCTGTCCCACACTGTCGTTATGAACACAATCAATATTAGTGACAAGTAGTAAATTAGCTCTAGGTGGTGGTGGAGGAGGTGGAGCCTTCTGTATTACTGATGACGATGGAGATCTTATCGAATCGGAATGTTGACTATTGAATAATATAGGAGATGAATGAATTGTAATAGGCTGTGGTTGTAACCGAGGAGTTGATTCAATCATTCGATTACTAATTGCAGTAGAAAATTTATCATTATTACTACTATATGGAAGTTGATATGTGTGCAAAAAATCATTTTGACGATCTACGGTAGAATAATCTTGAGGTGTATTCACCATTGAATTCACCAGCTCAGGAATAACATTTGATGGTAATGTTTTAGCTCTTAATGGGATAGGATGTTTTAGCTGGCAGAAAGTAAAAGACAGAGAGAAAAAAATTTCAAGATGTAAAATAAAAAACAGAAACTTATTAAACCTCGTGACTTAGTGGTTGAGGTGTTCAAATTTCAACCACTCAATTTCATGTTCTAACTCTGTTTCACGCACTCCGGTATGGACAAACCGGTAGTATCACTAGCCCTTACATCTAAAGTAAGATTCATACCCAAGTAATTGGTGAATAAGTTGGCTCATTTATTTATTTTATCCCTTATTTGGGAGGAGAAAAAGGAGATAAAGAGTGGTATAGTTATTGTAACTTGGTTACCAAGTATGTGTTTATATAGCTGGTGGATTCGAGCTAAAATTCCTTAATGTGAAGGCCAGCGATACCGTTCAAACTACATTAGACAGAGTGTGTTGAAACTTGTAGCTCAATAGTTGAAAACCACCAAAGACCAATAACTCTACAGTCTGAACACAAGATAACTATAAGAGACGAAAATTCCATTCTAGATGATAATGGACAAGGTAAAAATAAAAACAAATTCTGATCTTTCTAAAACTCGAAATTCGGAACCGTTAGACTAGTACCCTTATTGGTATACTGAGGAAGCATTCAGGAGTTTATCGCCTTAGTTTACTCAGGTCCATGCAATTCCCAGTATGAAATTCAATAAAATTATTTCAGTGATTTAAATTCATGTGCGCTCATTTTTAACGAATCAAACAAACTGTATTAGCGTTTGTACCGGTCGCAGGTGTTATAAAATGTTCGAAAATAGGGACAGAGTTTAAATGAATTAAGAACCGGATATATTATGGTAAAGATCCATGGAACAGTATGTAGAAATAAAGCACAAGATGGTAGAAGAATTGCGGAAATAGATTTATACTAGACAATTTACGCAGGATACTAAACTATCGGAATTTGCACATTTAGGTTATACTAAACTGTGTTGTTAAAACTTAAAAATCTAAATAACATTTATACCTACGCTACCTTAATAAATCACCCTCCTAATATCAACTCCTATACCAATTACCATTCAGTAATAATGATCAGAAATAATTCTTATTTATAAAATTATTTACTTGTGCATTTGTATTTAGTTTCGATTCGAATAACATCATTCCTTCTTCTGATGCTAATAAACTGCTAACATCACTTTGACTAGATAAAGACCAACGTCTTTGTTGTTGCTGATTTGGTTCGTGATGAGCATGTTTCAATTCTGTAAAATTTGTAGACTGAATCATTTCAGTTAGAGATGTATTAACATGAATTGATGATGATGTCGTTAGTGTTTTAACTTGACAAGTTGACACGGATGAAATTGGTGATGAAGAGGACAAGAATAATGATAGATGATGATTATCGTGATGTTGAAATGAATTAGGCATATCTATTGCTTTATATCTCACTGAACTGATATGATTTTGTTGACAAGTAGAATTCAATGTACAATTAGTTAGTTCGTAAATATTAGCACAACTATTGTTGGTAGTAGTAGCAGTAGTGGTGGTATTTGCTTTTACAGTTGGTGATGATATTGATGACAATTTTGTAGATAACCAATTAGTTTCAACTAATTCCAATAAAACTGTCGGTAAATTATTAGGAATCGGAACACCATTTAATCGATACACAACTAAATGCATTGCAATACAAAATTCACTCAATGTTAATTGTCCATCATGATCAAGATCAGACAGTTCCCTAAAGATGAAATACAATGACTAATTATTTGTAGTGAAATTTTCGGATTAATAGTATTCAATACAATACAATAATTATGCTGCATAATTTAAGCTAAGAACAATATCAGAGAGACTGCAATACAACATCAAAATAACAAAATATGACTGAGTACATACCCAATTGACTGTTAGTATTAGAGGATAGCGAAAAATTATAACGATAATTATTGAATTGATACAATCAGTTTGTGGAAATTGTTGGCCCCCAAATGCCCTGGTATGGCCGAGAGTGGGGAGAGTCCAATCACCCTCTCGAAATGCTCTCACATGACCACGTGTATATAGCCTCTGTCAGGGAAGTCCTACCCACAGCCTTCTCGTGGCGGGGGTGTTGTTTACGAAAATGAGAGGACGAAAAGCGAATGTCCGGCGCTTTAACGGGATCCCAAACCGATGGTGCACATGGGCTCCAGTATCCTGAAGGAACAAATGGCGTATGAACCAATCGTTGGTCACCGGCTACCATGGGACTGTGTCTCCTTACGATGCTCCACTGCCTTGTGGATCAGACCTTCAAGCCGAAAGCTCCGGGTGTGGCCCCCTAAGAAAACCACCTGATTCGGTCTGGGCACCCGGGCAGTATCATAGCCCTCATACATATCAAATGAGATCTGTGTGGCACATATCTCTTTGGTGCCTTCTTTTACCAATATCTATGTGTTAAAATAAATAATAATGTATGGAAATTGTTAAATTTCATAATTTATCTCACAGATCGACTTTAGTTAAACGAACATTCAAGATTAAAAAGCAATGGACAGCTGTGTCGTCCCAGCATTTTATTCCTGAAGAGTTAGTATCCATGACCAACAAAAATAAAACCCAGAATCTTCAAGTTTAGTGGTAGGTGTTTAACCTTTAAACCATTGATTTATAATTCAGTATGGTTAACATTTCTAACATCAATCAACTGAATTAGAAGTACGCGCATTACAAGGTTTATATAATCTATACCATAAAATAATTATCTGAAAAATATTCCTTAAAAAATATATACAAAACAAATTTGATTGACGAATAAATATCCAAGTTTTAGAATTATTTGGAAGTAGAAATCTTCAAGTGTTTAAATATATCATTTGGTGAAACATTAATTATTATTGTCTACAGCCTCATAACAGTATAAGATCAGTTTACCTGAGACAAGACATATACAGGGTATGAAGTGTTTGAACATATCAGAAGTAAAAATGTTTAATATAGATTATTTAAATCGACTTGTATAGTCTGTACTGGATTTATTCAAAAGTACTCAAGTAGTATTGCAATGAGTAAAAAAATTAGATTTCTGACATTCTGTTTATAATATATACGTACATATGTATATAATTTGAGTATACTAACTGTTCCGGATACCGATATTGGCCATAATATACCTATTCTAGAAAATGTGGCAAAATGGCCATATCAAGGTGATCTGTACAAGGTGCTTATATGCCAACAGACTGATTAGAATTCATATCTAAATATCACTAAAAGAATAATTCAAACTCTTACTAATAATGATCTAAACATCATATTTATTGAATAATGTGGTGGATATCTGGACTCAGTAGCCTAGTGGATGACGTGTTGGCGATTTAAGTGGAAAGTACTTATTTTGAGTCTCGGTGAGGACATTAACTCTGGTATATATGTACATCTGATTGACGAGCCCCAAATAAAACAAAACGCTCCAATCCTAGTTCCTACTGTTATTTCCACAATCTATCCAATCTAAATACATTTCTGAAGAGTTTTATTACTAATTCTTAATCGTCCCATGAATAATGTCAGCTGGTTTTGATTTCAATGATATGAAAAACAAACAAACGAACTTGAAGATAATATTTACCAAATTTTTGATAATTCTGAAGATGGTAAATTTGATAATTCAAAGAATGTCTTCGATTGCAATCCACTGAGTTTTGAACCAATATCTGGTTGTAGCCTAAGAAACTGTGATAAATAATAAGCTTTCTGATCAGATGTAACTGCCCATGGATCTACAATACGTTGATTTCTTACAGCAAAATCATCATTTGAAATATTTAAACTGGGAGAGAAATTTGTAGTAGTTGTATTAGCAACATTAACTAATGGAGTAATATCTGTAGTATTGGACTGTTGTTTGAATTGAACAGTTGGTTGATTAAAACTAGACCAATTATTCAATTGATGACTGTGAAACTGTATTTCTGCACAATGCGATGAATTCATATCCAAATGACTATTTAAATTCCCTTGATAGACTGTTTTCTAATGACCGATGAAAATGCAAGGCAATGTAATATTTGGTAAATAGTTAGGGATGGTAAATATTGTGCAATTTACAATAATACTAAAGTTTTTTTATTTACAACATAAAAATGTTTGGTGTAGTTGTGCAACGCAATTAAAAAGGATAGTATTGCAAGGAACAAGAAGGGGGAGACGTCACATAAACAGTAAACCAACAAATAAAAAATTGTGCGATCTAGTTGAGGCGGATTTCGTTTAGTCAAAAGATACATTTAACTGTTATGAATAATATAACAGGAAACTACGGTATGCTCGCCAATGGTTTCCATCCTGACTCATATCTTAGAACATCTTAAGCCATTAGGCTACGAAATTTTTAAGACATAATGGGCCGATAGATATTAATGTGATGTAGCTACACTACTGCATGATATCAAACACATCTCTATATGCTTTTCGGTTGGAATGTTTAGCTACAATCCTCACACATCCTATGACAATCTCAATATTCTTAGTGACATAAAATACACATTTTGTTTGATATCGACAGGGATATTAAAATATTTCAAGAGTGACAGCATACACCATTTAGAAAGGTTGAGTTACAAAAGTACATTTATGTTACCGTAATAATATAGAACTGTGGAGATAAATGTTCAGAAACTAATAAAGTCGTTATTAAAGGTTGGAAACGTTGGTGATAACATGAATTGGTCGCAATGATGCGAATGTATTCGCCCTTAGTTTTCCCTTTAACTCCTGAGTCTCGTAGTTATTCTGTAAGCTTATGCTTCACGAATTGATCGTTGTTTCTGGAATTATATGTCCATGCTCAATCTCCTCTACTCTCATTAACACGGTTACTACGTCTACTACTTCACCAGGATTTATTCTGATAATTTCGTCTCGCTGTATTGGTATGGTGCGGCGAATAGGACCGATGCATATAAGTGTTAGATTGTATGCTAATTACAACTAACTAAGGTTAAAAGTTCAAGTTCTGTACCATTTAACTCAGTTTAGACAGGTAGTATTGTTAACCAAGTTACATAAACGTGTACTTTTACAGTCGGACAAACATTAATTTAATAATGTAAAACTGTCACAGGAGATTGTAGCATAAAGTATTTAACTTTAGATATATGGAAAAAGTAGTGAGTAGGATACATGATGAGCCATCAGAACGTTTTCGGTTTGTGAAATTCGTCAGAAAAAAGTGACTATATAATCTTTGGGAAAGGTTAAAATCCATTATTATCTTTAACATTTACTATCATTCAATATAAGAATAACATCATAGAGATCATTACAAGACTTTATCTAACAATAATCATAGATAACAAAAATTAGAATTTCACAGGCGATAGAATCTTGATCAAAATTATAAATAACTTGTATTAGGTGGTTAGAGGAAGTTGGTGGAAAATCTTGTACCACAGTTCTGTAGTAGTTATTACTCGACAGCACAGAGTATATATATATATATATATATATATATATATATATATATATATATATATATATATATATATTCTGAATAAACTCATTAACTAGACACAAGTTTGTGTACTTAACTTTAAGTCGAACTTTTAATTTGAGGACTAGTGACATAATCTGATTGATTGCCGAGGCCGGGATAAGTGGAAGAGGTCTCAAATCTGAGACTTAGAAAGTGGATGTCAATCGGATTAAACACTCAGATATTTGAATTTAATGTTTTCCGAAAATTTCCTATTCATCCCTTATTTTTTAAATGATAGCAGACATACGAGTACAATAGTTACACAATTCAGAAAATTAACAAAACAAGGATGTGTCTCATACACTTATTGATCTTGGTGACCGGTGATGAGCTGCAGCAAATGGTGATGATCTAGGATCTGAAGGATTCTTAAATATAGGCAATTCATTTGATTGACTCAAAGAGGAAGGAAACACTAAATTCTGATTGATTGATCCCAAGTTAGGAAAATGTGAATTCATTGATTGTTGTTGATTAATGAAAGATGATGTTTCCGTAGAGAAATAAGCTAATTAAAAAGAATAGGAACAAACAATATTTGAAATACTAATAATATAGTTGCATGGAAGTGAAAAAAATGTCATAATGCATCACAATATTTGCAACCAATTCAGTTTGGTTTAAATGTTTTGATGGGTTCAAGTACCACTTCACCTACTTTAATTTGAGGAGGCAGTTAGCATTACCATTTTTTCAAACAGACTGTGGCTTAAAGTCAAGTGATTATGTTGTTAACTACGTTTATGTCACATGTAGTACTTCACCAAATATAAACATCATTGTTTTAGTAGAGAATGTTTACTATTTTTGTGAAAAACATAAATATTGATACAAAGGGGTACCAGATATATATGCGCCACACAGTAGAGAATCTGCATAAGAAGTAAAGTCTAGTTTCCTTTGCTTAGTTAAGTGGCTTACGACATTTAAGTTAATGTGACAATTTTCATTAAAGACCGATGCTATACAAGAAGTCCGTTGAAATATGTGTAACTAAAATACTGCTCTATTTTATATTAAGCTCAGCTCCACAAGTAAGTCATGAATATGACATAGTATGGAACCGAACTCTCAGGATTCTAGTCTTGAAGTGAACATAAAAACGTTTAGTGAATAAATAGGAGAATTAAGGTTTAGCTTAGTTAAAGAATATAGTACTTTCGCTTGTGGTATTTCGTTTAAAAAATACCTGTTAATAATTGTCCAGCTGATCAGAATTATTTGTAGTGAGTTCAGCATCTAAAAAATCAGCTTAAACGAAGGATGAATGTAGAAGTGAAAGTACAGTTTATTTTCACTTAGATTATAGTGTTGCTTTTTTTAATCTAATCTCATCTCTGCTAAAATTGCACACATCAAGGCAGGCAATAACTTGATTTTTGCATCATATTACCTAGAACTTCCAATGGATACACGTTTAAAGCCTTACTGGTTGGCTTACTCTTTCTGTCTAGAACCTTTTATTCAACTCAGATTGTGCCATCCTTTATAGATTCGATAAGATTCCGAAGTTACATTTTACACTTTGCCTCTATCTATTTGCTTCAGAAGCTATGATGTTATAAAACCCCCAACTTTCATTCTATTGTTACTATCACCACATTACCGAGTCGCAGAAATTATTTAAAACCGCGTTTTGTAGGGGACATAAATAAAAAGATATATATATAGAGTGTACAGCGATGTACCTGGTTAAGAATGATATGCATAGTGAGATGGTTAATAACACTATCGGGTCATTCCAGCCTTATTACGCGAAAAATTGTACGAAATCATGACCCATTGGTTAAAAGTAAAGTATACAAACAGAACTACCAGTTTGGTAGATCTAAGTATAAATTTATATTATACTAAGGAGACGAGGAAGTCCACTGGTTTGTAAAAGAAATAAATCACTGACACCTAATTCCGAAATGAGTCAAATGCTTGGATATATACATCGGAGGCAAAGGTAGGTTCGAAATTTAATACAGGCGTGAACATGACAGGTGACTAAGTTATATTTTTTAGCACTTGAGATCCGTAAAATTGCAATCTATGTGGTAAAACTATCTCTGTTACGTCCATAGATAAACAAAAATTAAAAGCAACAGATCATTTCTACTCGAAATTGACAAGTTTCCCAATATAATCAACAGTATTTCGCTAGCGTATCTTGTTGAATTTCTAGAAGTCGTATAAAGATATTGATATGACTGTTGTCATTAAAATAAGTTAGAGGTTCAAACTGAAGGCCCAGTGCCAATAATGGTGATAGTTAACAAAGGATTATGGAATTGGCGAAGCATCATTATGCCGATATAAGACTGAAGGACCGATGCATCTATTTTTTAACCTTGACCATCAACCGTAAATCATAATTCCAACTGGTTTATAATTCGCATTTAGTACTAATCAGTAGGTATCCATCCCCTAAGTCACTTCGGCGTCGCTCAAAGGTCGTCCACAAATTATAGTCCCAACAGCTTATGAAGTCATACAACGATGTTTAATGTAGGCTGGATATTACTTACAGTGAGAAGTACAAATGGGAACTGATAAGGGTTTTCTAACCATAAAACTATCATCATCATCAAATTGGGCCCACGACTCTTGTCCATGGCGTACTTGTTCCATTTTATGCAATAATCAGCATCAGTTACGACGAAACGAAATTCACATCAGCAATATCTGAAAACAAACGTGCGGTATATAAGAACTTTTATAACAAGTCAACAAACACGACAATACAATTAACTGAACCACAAATTTGTAGTAAGTTTAAAAATTCTCAAGAGATTTTAGCTAAATAAATATTAAATTTCCCATCATTGAAACGTTCCAACTAGACGAAGATCTAGACACGTTTTATAACTGGAAGTGTTCGGCACGAATTATGCCTGAGTTCTATTAGAGTGATGTTTGGAAGCGATAAATATCAGCTAGCTATAGTTCAACTTTTGAATAATGAGACATTCTCGAAGGGCCCATTTTAAGCTTTTAATAAGTATGGACAACTTACAGTTGTTAAACGCATGTGGACATACATTACGGGCATCAACTTTCGTTTACTAGACAGAACGCATAACCTCGACTTACGGGACTGTAACAACAGCGACAAAGCCTGCGCTTGTATAGTCCAATATCCAATGCCTAACTCACTTGAGACGACTGATTTCTTCGCGCTCTCTTCTTATTGTTCCGATAATTTTCAGACAATTGATAAGGCCCCATGAATGGTAGCCTAGCCACTTAGACGCAGTAATTCTAGTTGGCTTATTGGTTATTTGTGAACATATATATCTTATGGTTTGTCACAGGACAGTAGCTATTCTGGATATTAACAGTTATCACACTACTAGGAAGGTGGTTTTTTGGTCGGTTGCGATATGAAGAATTATAAAATGATTATTCGAGTACTAGGAGAAGACGATCGTTTCAAGTATAAATAAATAATTTACTTTGTGGTCGATGCATAGAAAGACGAAGTTGGGAGGATGAGGGGGAACGGAGATGATAACATGGGAGATAGGACGTAGTTACTTGTTATGCGGTAGTGATAACCATTTTTATTTATGAGATATGCATCAGACATAGCTGGTCCAAGCGGGAGATGTTAATCCATGAGAAAGTACATTTTTATCAAGACTCCACTCACAGCTGTCCACTGATAGAGCTGTTTTTACAACGGCTGGGAGAGCGTTGCATATAAGGGCAAGTCTTAATGTGAAAAAGCGAAAGCATCCGTTTTTATTTACTTTTTGCCAAGCGATTTTCTGAGGGTTGTTTCTAGGTGCGTGGTGATGTTCGTGTTGGAGTGGTTTGGCGTACTCAGTACGTTGTATTCTACTTGTTCTCCTGTAACTCGAAGAGAATGATCTTATGTGTTGGAGTCTTTGCTCGAAAGATTTGTGTTTTGGCTTTATTACCAACTTAGTTGCCCATCTCTGTACTTAGTCTAAGAGATTTGTATCACTTTCGAAGATAGGGGACGTAACGATATTGTGAACCCCTAGGAGGGATGTGTGTATGCTTTAAACTGTGTCACGAACAACTTTGTAGGGATTCCGCCTGTTCGTTTTTGCATAAAATGTAGAGCTATGTTTACCTTGTCCCAATTCCTCAAACAGTTTGACATGCTGCCAAGGCTTTCTATTATTGCAAGCCAGATATCACGATCTGAGGAGACAGTTGGAAGCGGGTGTCCATTGAGGGTGTAAGTGATTTCCGTTAAGTGAGACAGAATGTTCATGACACGATATTTCGGCGGATCAGGTTTAAACCCACTGCATACTTCTGATTTCTCGATTGCCCTGGAGTCCTTTAGAAGCCTGAAGTGAGTCTCTAGATCACTAACTAGATGATCTGGGTCGAATAATTAGATATCTACTCGGGTTAAACGGGAAACGTACGACCAACTAGATAATGTCGAAGTCACAATTTAGGTTTAGCAGCTAACGTGGATTACCCTTTCTTCGTATTCAGACACTGCGGCTACTTTGATGTCTGTACAGCACAAAAGATGTTATCACAGAAATATATCAA